TTTATTTGAACATTTTTATCCTAGAAATATCTTTTTTTCCTCAAAATTTGGCTGTTTATTCCTGATAATTTCTTGGAGCTTGTGTATGTAACCTGTATTTCTTAAAATATTTTATACAAAACGTTTCTATATTCTGTATCTGACCATTGTAGCTGTAGTTCTTGGGAGCTCTAAATCTATTGTTTGATGTTTCTACTGACTCATACATGGTGGCTTGATTTTTTTGTACATTTGGTAATCTTTGATTGTGGACTGATTCCTTGATCTTAATCTGTGGGAGCCTTATACATCTAAACTGGTGAAGTCTCCCCCCAGGGAGGGTTTGTTTCTCATTCTGTTGTAGACGAGGTTTACCACTAACAATGACTACCCATTCTCTCTCAGCTTAGCATGAGACTATCAGCTTCAGCTACCCTACCTTACCACTGGCCTAAGCATCAGTCCACTCCCTGACTTATAGCTCCTTAGGGGAAGCCATTGTCAAGTCTCAGGACTGAAGGAGATGACAATGGCCATGTTTTTCTCCTTCCTTAGAAGGGAAGGGAGTCAGGTTTCCTCTCTCATGATGTGACTGCTATCACCCATTAGAGATACATTTTCTTCAGTGCGCCTTTATTGGTATCACACCACAAACCAGGGATGCCCTCAGAACAGCCCCTCTTCTCCATGCCACCTGCCCCAATTCACATTTTATTGTTTTTGTTTTGTTTATTGTTGTTTTTGAGGGGAAGATGTGCTTTTTTTTTTTTTTTTTTAGGAAGATTAGCCCTGAGCTAACTACTGCCAATCCTCCTCTTTTTGCTGACGAAGACTGGCCCTGAGCTAACATCCATGCCCATCTTCCTCTACTTTACCTGTGGGATGCCTACCACAGCATGGCTTTTGCCAAGCGGTGCCATGTCCACACCCAGGATCTGAACTGGCAAACCCTGGGCCATTGAGAAATGGAACGTGCACACTTAACTGCTGCACCACCAGGCTGGCCCCAAGGAAGGTGTGCTCTTGAAGACCCTTTTCTCTGTGTGAACCAGCAACACGTATACCATATATTGTTGATTTGCTTTAGATAGTCCTCTGAAGAACAACTGTTCTGCCATAGTCCTGGAAGTGGAAGTCCTCACTGTGTCATTTAATTGGTAATTCTGGCTAATAAGAAATCTATTGATGGGGCCGGCCCTGTGGCCAACTGGTTGGATTTGTGTGCTCTGCTTTGGCAGCCCTGGGTTTCCCCACTTTGGATTCTGTGCATAGACATGGTACCGCTCATCAGGCAGTGCTGGGGTGGTGTCCTACATAGTACAACCAGAAGGACCTACAACTAGAATATACAACTATGTACTGGGAGGCTTTGGGGAGAAGCAGAAGGGAAAAAAAAGAAGATTGGCAACAGATGTTAGCTCAGGTGGCAATCTTTAAAAAAAAAAGTGAGCTATTGACATTTCAATTTATTTTTCATGTAATAAGCCATCTTAGTACTCTTACTAGTTATTGTTTTTCAGCTGCTTCTCAGGGTTTTGTAAGTTAAGCAGATGGTAATTTTTTTTCTTCATTTCCAACATTTAAGGTTCTTATTATTTTTGTTTTATGCACTGTGTAGACCATCTAGAATACTGTTGAATAATAAAGGTGGTAGTGATCAGTCCTGTTTAGGTTTTGACTTTTATAAGATTGCCTGAAGTGAAGGACTATCAACCTTACATGCTAGCATCCATCTTACGCCCACGGCAAACACAGTCAGTTCTTCATGCTTCTCTCTGCTGAGCCACGGCCCTATTTCAGAACCTCACAGTAACACCCCACAGATGGCTACAGTTGACTGGGTTTAGTATGACACATGAGATGTTTGCCAGTCCTGGCTCTGGCTTTTCTGTTTGATGTAGTTTGATACTGGCTGTTCATTTAAAATATTCTTTATTATGTTTCTAATCCTGGTTTACTAAAAATCCTTTTTTAAAAATCACAAATAGATATTTAATTTTATAAAGGTTCCCCCAATATCTGTCAGGGCGATCAAATAGCTTATATTTTCTTTGGTTCATTCCTATGTTAATTACATTGATATATTTTTCCAGTTCTATCATTGTTGCGGTCCTGGAATAAATCCTACTAGTCTTCTTTTTTTTTTAGACTTTTAAAAAATGTTTTCCTTTTTCTCCCCAAAGCCCCCCGGTACATAGTTGTATATTTTTTAGTTGTAGGTCCTTCTAGCTGTGGCATGTGGGACGCCGCCTCAGCATGGCTTTGATGAACAGTGCCACGTCCACGCCCAAGATCCGAACTGGCAAAACCCTGGGCTGCCGAAGCAGAGTGTGTGAACTTAACCACTTGGTCACAGGGCCGGCCCCTAAATTATTTTATTGAGGCCATATTGGCTTATGACATTTTGTAAATTTCAGGTGTATGCTATTATATTTCAGTTTCTGTACAGATTGCATTGTGCTCACCACCAGTAGTCTAGTTTTTATCTGTCACCACACATGTGTCCCTGTACCCCTTTCGACTTCCCCCGACCCTCTTCCCCTCAGGTAACTATCACTCTGTTCTCTTTATCAATGTGTGTGTTTGTTTATCTTACACATATGAGTAAAATCACGTGGTATTTGTCTTTCTCTGACTTTTTTCACTTAGTGTAATATCCTCAAGGTCCATTCATGTTGTCGCAAATGGCGCAATTTTGTCTTTTCTATGACTGAGCGGTATTCCATTGTCTATATATATATCAGGTCTTTATCCATTCACCCATTGATGGGCTCTTGGGTTGCTTCCACATCTTGGCTATTGTGAATAATGCTGCAGTGAACACAGGGCTGCATAAATCTCTTTGGATTGTTGATTTCATGTCCTTTGGATAACTACCCAGTAGTGGGATAGCTGGATCATATGGTAGTTCTATTTTGAATTTTTTGAGAAATCTCCATACTGCTTTCCACAGTGGCTGCACCAGTTGCATTCCCATCAGCAGTGTATGAGGGTTCCTTTTTCTCCACACCCTCTCCAACATTTGGTATTTTTAGTCTTAGTGATTATAGCCATTCTGATGGGTGTGGGGTAATAGCTCATTGTAGTTTTGATTTGCATTTCTCTGTTAATTAGTGATGTTGAACATTTTTTCATGTGCCTGTTGGCCATATGTATATCTTCTTTGGAAAAATGTCTGTTCATATCCTCTGCCCACTTTTTGATTGGGTTGTTCATTTTTTTGTTGTTGAGTTGTGAGTTCTTTATATATTTTGGAAATTAACCTCTTGTTGGATATATGATTTGCAAATATTTTTTCCCAGTTGGTGAGTTGTCTTTCATTTTATGGCTTCCTTTGCTGTGCAGAAGCTTTTTAGTCTCATGTAGTCCCACGTGTTTATTTTTTCTTTTGTTTCCCTTCCCTTTGAAAAGATACTGCTAAGGCTGATGTCAAAGAATGTACTGCCTATATTTTCTTCTAGGAATTTTATAGTTTCAGGTCTTACATTTAAGTCCTTTACCCATTTTGAGTTAATTTTTATGTATAAGATAGTGGTCTACTTTTATTCTTTGACATGTGGCTGTCCAGTTTTCCCAACACCATTTATTGAAGAGACCTTCCTTTCTCCATTGTATGTTCGTACTCAGCTCCCAGGTGGCAGGACTGTGTTCTGGAGTAGACAGACTAGCGAGCCTCTGCTCTCCTGTTCTGCTCCAGGTGGCCTTGGCAGTCATCTCACTAGCGCCCCCCTCCTTGCTCCTTCCTAGGCCCCGCCTCCTGCCTCTGGCTCGGCCCTGTAGCCCTGGACACAGTACACACAGCACAGAGCCATCGGCTCAAAGGCAAACAAAAGGAACTGCCTGGGTTCCCGGGACTATGGCCAGCATCTTCACACTGGGGCTGAACCCTCAGCACCCTCATCATATCCCGGGGTAAAACTTCTTACCCAGAGCATATCCCTGCTTCCTTCTGAGGATAGGGGTAGAGGGATAGGAGTTGTGTCCCCTAGACCTCTGGGCCAAGAGGACATAGTGGTTTGGGAGGCCCAGGGCTGGGGTATCAATGGTGTTGGTCGGAAAAGCAAAGGCAAAGTGGTAGCTGGGCTTGCCACAAAGCTCTGTGTTGTCTTCTCCATGGTAACAGGGTAACAGCAGAGGGGAAGGGTAAAACCCAGAAAGAGAACTGAGAAATGCCTCCTCCAAATATATACACAGCTGAGTCCAGAAAAGATTAGGGCTTCAAAGATCTCTGCTTCTTGGGATGGTGGGGCAGAGGGATTCTGGAGGTGACTGGGTGAGGCCTGTGCTACAGGTACACTGGACATTGCCCACTATTTCGGTTCAGCATGGGCCAGGCCTATGGTCAGATTACTGGTCATCTACTTCGGGGCTCTCCTGGCCTAGCCTGGCCCCCTGCCCATCGCACACTTCTGCCTCCCATTTGGCCTCCAAGATCTCCCGAGGTTCCCAGGAGAAGAAGCCTGCGTGTCAGGCACGGGCACAAAAGGCTCAGCTCTAGCATGATCCCTGGGTACACAGGTGTGAACAGGTGCCCCCAATCCCAGAACATGTGTCCCAAACACTAACAGAAATCTTCCTCATCCCCTGCCCACCCAGGATTTGTACCCCAGGCACAGTTCATTTTTGCCAAGAACTGCAGCCAGGTGTGGGCTGAGGCTCTGCATCATTTTACTCAGTGGCATGGGGGACAAGGGAGTCAAGAGCAGCTGCCAAAGGAGGCTAAGGGAGAAAAAGACATGGGGAAAGAGCCAACACTGGAGCCAGAGCTGGAGGCCAAGGAGGAGCCACAGCTGGGAGAGAAGGTAGAACAAGTGAGACCAAGAAAGCTGAGGGGTCTGCAGTGGGGTGGGAGTAGGGAGCCTTACATCTGTGTGGCCAGGCCTGGGGATGGCCATGAGTAGCTTGGCTGTGGGTACGGGGGACATGGAGTTGACTGCCAGCTCCACCTCCCTGGGAGCTTGTGTTAGAGCACAAGGGCTGAATTTGAAAGCCCTATTTCTTCTCTCCACTCCCCTCACAAGGCTTCCCCCTACTCCACGGATGACAGAGATCCTCGCAAGTTCTTCATGTCAGGTGAGAGGAGGTGGGTAATGACCAAAGGCGTGGGGAGGCCCCCAGGAGGTCCTGACTCAGTATCCCATCCCCCGGGCTTCACTGGTTATGTGCCCCATGCCTGCTTCCTCTTCGGCTCCAGCTTTCCTGTGCTTACCAACCAGGCACTGCCGGAATTTGGACAGATGTACTCATGGGGCAGACCTCAGAAGGATCCCAAACATCTCCTCCCACTTTCCATGACTTTCCCTCAGAACCTGGGCCTTTTACCTAACTATGGGGGCTCTGTGCCAAGTAAGGATAGTCCCAGAGGGAGGCTTTGGGGACTGGAATATCATGGAGGGGGATGGGGGGACGTGGTTTGGGGGGTTGGAACTAATAGGTAAGGGGGAACCTCGGATCATGTGGTTGAGCTTTATCATTGGGCAGAAAAGGAAACTGAGGCAGCTCACAGTGGGGAGTCAGGACCAGATTTTGGAGGGTCTGGACAACTGGCTGAGAAATAAATGGCTTTTCCATGCCACTAGTTTCAAGTGACAGACTCTCTGGGTCACACAGGGTGTAAGTTCCAGTTTGGCCACACATCTTGGCATCTCACCCATGATGCTCTGGGCCTCAGCACCCTCCAGAGGCAGCTCCTGGTGTAGGTACCTGGACTTCAAGTTCTTTCTTCCCTTTTCATCCTGTCCCAGCCATCCTTTTGGAAGGAAGAGAGATGGGCCAGAGGGTAGTGGGAGCCACAAAGAGAAAATGGTTTGGAGGCTGAGCACCTTTTTTATTAATAGGTGTAATAAATAAATAAATAAAATACATAAACAGAAGCCTGGGCTCCTCCTCCCTCTTCTGATCACCAGGTACTGGCCACAGCCTATTTACAGCTGGGGGCTTAGGGATCTGGCCCCAATACTGTTACCCCTCCTCCTCACCACCTGGCCTAGGGAACCCTGCAAATGGGCTTCTGGTCACCTCCCTCCATACAGATGTACTTGTCTGTACCCATGGAAGGGCTGGCCCAGATGGGCTGGGGAAATCCTGGCAGCCCAGTGCTGTGTCCCTTCCCTCCTTTCCTGGGTGGAGATCTGGACGAGGTCACTGGGACAATTAAGGGGGAGTAATTAATACTGAGCACAGGCATATGTGGCCCCCAGCTCTCAGTCTACTCTCAGTAGCCAAGCCAGAGGGAAGGGCTCTCAGGCTCTGAGTCTGGGGGTTATGAGGGTCCCCGAGGCCACCAGCATGCACAGGGCCTCAGTTTTGGCTGCTTCCGGGCGTTGGACTTGGAGTTGGGGTCAACGTCACGTAGGCCAGAGGCACCAGGCCCATGTCAGTGCCACGGCTGCAATGCAGCCAGTCTCCTTTGGCTGGCCCCAGCACCCGTAGGATGTCTCCCTTGTGGAAGCTCAGCTGTCCAGGGCCTGTGGCCAGATGGTGGCACAGTGCCTTCACCTTGCTGGGGAAACAACAAATGAATGTCAGAGAAACCCCACCCAAAGCCAAACGCAGCCCCTAATCCTTCTGTCCCCCAGGACTCACCATGGAGGCTTGGAGGGCAGGGCTGGAGGGTGTGGCTCCTGCAGGCTCTCCCTGGGCTCTGGCTCCCGGCGGGCACCCACTGTCTGCACCACTAGTTGGAACATGGACTTGTCCAGGCTCAGCCAGTCTGAGGGTAGCCTAGGGGAGAGCAGCCAGGGCTCTGGCTCTGTCTGTGTCCTGGCTTAGATCAGGTGCCCCACTCTCTCCATCTACACTACGGGCTGCCTCTTACCTGTTTGTGGGTCGGGCTTCCCGCTGAACCTTTCGGGACCCAAAAAGGTGTCCCCACTTGATGCCCCCAGGTGAAGGCTCAGAGGTTCCTTCCTCATTTTCTGCTGGGGGAGCAGTCGACCCCTCCCTCTCCCGACTGCGTCTCAGCTCGGCCAGCACAGAATCAGGGGGGCTTCCCATCCAGAAGGGCCAGGCCCTGCCCAGAGTCTCCTCAGGGGCAGGGCAGGCCTCAGCTCCCTCCACGACTCCCTCCCGGGGGGGTGGCCCCCTGCCTCCGGCTCCTTTCTTTTTCTCACTGCTGCTGCCACTGCTGCTATTGCTGCCACCTCGGGGAAACCTAGAACCCTCAGTGGAGCCATCGATGTAGACCTGGGAGCTCTGCATGAGCTGGTACCACCAGCCAGCCTGCCCACCTTGGGCCCACCTGCCACGCCCTGAGCCCCCAGCTGCCTCTGCCATCTCTTCTGTCTCTTCTTCTTCCTCTTCATCTTCTCCACCTTCTGGGGCACCCACACCCTTCACCCGCTCCCCATGGGCTGCCCTGTCCATGTCTCCAGGGCCCTCCTGGCCCCGGGCCTGGGCCAACTGCAGCGTTGAGTGGGCGGATAGCAGCAGGTCCTGGGACACCCGCAGCAGCTCCTTGTGCTGCCGCTGCTGCTGCCCACTTTGCAGCAGCCGGTGCTGGAAGAGCAAGTCGAGGCTGAAGGGCAGCAGGGCCAGGGGCTGTAGCAGCAGCAGCAGCTCCTCAAAGAGGCCGGGGCACACGGTATGTGCTGCGCTCAGGAAGCCCCATGGCTGGTAGTGGGTCTGGATGATATCTGGGGGAGAAAGAGAGAGGGACTGAGCCACAAAGAGAGGCAGAGCCTAGCCTAGGGTGGGCCTGTGAAAGCCAGCCTGGGCAAAGCCACCAGCTGTGGAGTGTGCCACTTACAAGTACAACAGCGTAAATGATGCCTCCTGAAGTTGTGCGGAGCATAAACTCCACATCTTTAAGTGGAGGCCCCGAGTGGAGGAGAGAGGTGTTGGGATTCCTGGCCACCCTGACTTCCAGATTGCCTGACTCCAAGGCTCTAACACAAGCAGAAGCTGGGGAGGACTGCGTAAAAGCCTAAGCTTTGAGAATGAAAGCTTGTGTTGTTCCCCTCCCCACCTCTAGCATCTGAAAAGACAGCTCTGCCTCCCTCTTTTGATCATCTGAGGTCTGGCTTATGCTGAGCTGCAAGAGAGAGCAGGGTTCTGGGCATTACCTTCGTGGTTATAGAGGTGATTAAACCAGAACTCCAGGGACCGGATGCTGTAGGGAGATAGGAGGAGAGTTGAGTCTTGTGTGGATATAGCCAGATGATAAGGTACAAGGGAGACAGACCTAGGGCAGGGGTATAAGTGAACACCTCCTTTCTACGGCAGGGATGCTACCCGTTTCATTTCATGTAATAAAGTTCTAGAAAGTCAGTGGGGATGTAGGAAGGGGGTGAACATTTGATTCATAAGCCAATCACTTCCTCCTAGAATGGAGTTGGCCTGCAAAAGACCCGAGAAGTCAGGGCAGCTACTGAAGGAGAGTACAGGGTAGCTCAGGAAATGACCTGAGCCCATACTTGAGAAAGAAGAATACTGTGATGTGGGTCCCAAGGTGGACTTAGGGTCAAGCAAGATTTGGAAGCAGTGCTGGAATTGAGAGGATCAGGGTTTACAATATCCGGAGAAACTGAGAACCAGATTAATTTTCAAATAAACCAGATTATGGATTTATAAAAGCAGAAGACCATGTTGATGATCACTGCCAGAGGGTCGTGGGTGTGGTGGGAAACCAGGGACCTACTGAGAGAAGCTATAGTTAGGTAGGGAGAAAGTGAGGCTGGGCCCTGGCTACAGATCCCACAGATCCCCTTTTTGTCTCAGTCTAGGGAGTTGTTTCCTTATAGCTGGCAGAGCCCAGGGGAGGGGCCAGTGGTTTGCAGATCTTGCTGTTCCACACACTCACTTGAGCAGGCCGAGGATGAAGGCGTTGAAGCGCATGGTATGACTGGTGAGCTCTGGGAATTGGCTGACTTTGTTGTAGAGGCCATGCAGGACCTTGGTGGATGGGCCTGGGAGGAAGACAGAGTTGGAAGTCACACGCCCAATCTCTGGAACCCTAAATTCAGCCTGGGGTCCCCATCTTGCCACCCAGCACTTACCTAGCTGTGTGGAAGCCTCAACCACACTCCACGGCATGTTCTTCCGTTGCCCAATGATGACATCTAGCACAAAGGCCTTGAGCCCATCCTCCAGCACAGCCCGGACGGCAGGGCACAAGTACTTCAGAACCAGGTGGCCTACATTGGGGCTCACAGAACTATTCCCAAGCTTTGCCTGTGGATGCAGTAGGAAGTACAGGGAATGATTTGAAGCCTGACCTTGGTCCTCTCCGACTCTCTTAGTCACCCTTCATGGTGCTTCTCTTGCGATCCTCATCCCTAAGTATCCAACCCTGAGCTCTAGATACAAGAGAGCAAGGGAAGGTGGTAGCACAGAATAGGTGAGGGTCAGCAAGGTAGAGCTCAGCTCTCCAGTTTCTCACCTACCTTCACCCCAGGATCCCGGCTTGTGCCAAAATGGGCCACAATGAGGTCCACAGCAGTGTTAACAGCTTTCACGAGCCCTGCAAGTGAGAATTAGATGTGACAGGTCCCTAATCAAGTCCCTGGGCAACTCAGGTGGGACTGAGCCCTAAGTGGGGAGAGGGAAGGGCTTCCACACTCTCTCTCTGCCCCTGCACATGGGTCTCACCAAGGCACCAGGCCCTGGGCCTTCCTGTTTTTGCCCAGTTCTCAAGCCCCTCCTGTTTTCACCTGTCAGCCTGGACCCACCTCAATGATTCCACTGTCAAGACCTTCAAGTGTTCTCATTTCCTTGCCCTCTTAGTCCAGTCCTGGGTCAATCTAACTGTCTTCTCCACTCTGAGAAACCAGGCTATTTGCTGCTGGAGAAAGTCCAGGGCCACTCACATCAGTGACTGACCAGGGCACTTCTCTAATGTAGCCTCTACTATGCTCTCAAGTTGCCATGCCAAATCTTTACCATTCTTCTCAAGTCCTTGGTTCTACTCCACACAGAGAACAGAGGCCACTGGTCATGAATTCAACTTCCCTATCCATCCAAAAGACATAACTATAATATATCTATCCTCCCTCCCGTCTCTCACTCCCTGTATCTTGGAGGAAGGTGGCTGTTCCCCTTCTTGCCCAAAGTTCTTGCTCTCCCTAAGCTTTGAATCTCCCACTCTGCCTCTGCAAGGGACTTGGGCTTCATCCTTCTCCCTTCTCACAGGCTCCTTCCCTTCAGCCCACAATTATGCTCAATTCTTTCCCTACCATCTTTAAACAGCTCTCTGTCTTACTTCAGTGGTCCCTTATTTGATAATTGAGTGGTTCCTTGTCAGTCCGTATCTTACTAGGTGTCACCATCACGCTTACCCAAGCTGCTGGGTCCCGTAGTACTTGAACTCCCCCAATTAGAGCACTGGGCACTGATTTATGACATGGCAGTCTCCCTCACCATCCTTAGCTCCCTGAGGGAAGAGACTGAAGCCTGATTCTCAAGCATCTGATAAATGACCCTGGCCCCCTCGCACATACAACACATAGGACAAAGACTTTCTACCTCTCGCCCCAATGCCTGTACTCTAAGTCCTTCTAGCACTTGGAGTTCTCAGACAGGGAACTATTCTGGAGGGCTAGAAGGTAGGGCAACAGGCACAAATAGGTAGTGACAACAGAATTCCTGGCCTGAGCTGGGGGCAATATTCACCTTTTTTCTGAAGCAGGTCAATGGAAATGGCCTCTGAGTTGCCATCTGGGGATAGACAAAACTCAGCTGGAGGCTTCTCGGTCAAGGAAAAGGGGTCTTGGAAGTCAGGGCAGGTCAGTGGTAATGGCTTCACTACTTGACCTTGAAAGAAGAGAAAAATCAGTCCCAAGCAACTCTCTTTCCAAGAGTTGCAGCTCAGTTCTGTGCCTCATACCCTGAAGCAGTTCCTTCTCTACCCCTTCCCAGCTATGGCAGAGCCTGCCCTGGGTGTACTGGGGACCTGGCCCACAAACCATTCAGCCGGCAGTTCAGATGGCCAGCAGCACTGAGGGAGCCAGGAAACTCAAAGATGGGGTTCCTTCGGGCCAGCCGAGCTTCCTGTGGCCTTCGGTCTAGGCTCCCTGACAAGCCAGGCGGCCCTAGTGGGTTCTTCCTCCTGTACTCCCGCCACTTGAGTGCTTGAGGGGATAGGTGGTTGGCTGAAAGCAGAACAGATTAGCAGAAGAGACAGGCAAGAGTTAGTAGGAGACAGCATTTCATATCTACCCAGTGGGCCCATATAAAACATGAGGGCTGGGAGTGTGGGGATATTAACCACAGATGCTGGGGAAGGAGATGCAAACATTATAATCTCTGGCCCCAGGCTGGAGTATAAAAAGCCAATCAAAGGGGAGACAGAAGTACTTGGGGTCACGCCGGGGTGGGCAGTGAAGTTCATACCGTTACTGGGCCTGGAGGCCATGCTGCCCTCACCACCTCCCCGGGCCAGGCTCTCTGCTCGGCTGAAGCCAGATCTCCAGGAGCCCAGAGGAGGCAGGCTTCCTGTTCCATGGAGTCGGTACTCAGCCAAGGTCAGTATCTTCTGATCCTCCTTTGGTGGCTGCTGGGAGGTGGCAGGCCGGACAGCAGGAGGACAGGAGTGGCTCCATGGGGGTGGGCTTTCTGTGGCTGTGGCCTGCTCTAGGGGAGGGGAGCACGAAGTGGAAGGAGAAGAGTCGGTGCTGGGCCCAAAGGGGCCAGCACTCCGAATGGGGGAGTAGCTGCCCAGGGGTGATGGCCGTGAGGTTTCTGGCTCAGGCCCAGCTTTCCCGGCCCCTTTGTTGGCGGATGCTTGTGACTCCCCTGAAGGAGCTGGGGCTGGGACTTGAGCAGTGGGGGCAGCCAGTGGGGCAGGCTGCTGTGCACGGCTGCAGCCCGAGAGGCTGTAGAGTTGGGAAAGGCTGTGGAGGGCCCGGGCCTTGGCCAACTGCTTGGGGAAGTGGTGCTGGAACACGAAAGGCTGGATGGGCAGCGTTGTTGGCCTCTGCTCCTTGCTGTAGCGAAGGACTGGTCGGCTCTCAGCACCACCCCCTGTGGCAATAGGGATGGAGAAGGAATCAGACAGACACTGAAACCCACATGAGAGGAAGCAAAGAAGCAGACAGGAGCTGATGCTCACTGTGGAAAGGGGAACGGATGGGCAGGAACTGGGGTGTAGGACTTGAACGGGGTAGGGGGTAATCCAAGTTTGTGGAATGTGACACTGCTCCCCCTTCTTTTGTAAAACTTTTCCTATTGTTTTCGTGATACTGAACTGTCTTGTATACTCCCTTCATTTTCTTGACTTCAAAGGTAGGTGTATCTTAAGGCTGCTTTTTTTTTTTTAAAGTTTTTTTTCATTTTTCTCCCAAAGCCCCCGGTACATAGTTGTATATTTTTAGTTGTGGGTCCTTCTAGTTGTGGCATGTCCACACCCAGGATTCGAACTGGTGAAACCCTAGGCCCCCGAAGCAGAGTGCCGAACTTAACCACTGGGCCACAGGGACGGCCCTAAGGCTTAATTCTTATATCTCACTTTACACTTTATTCCTGGCACTGTTCAAGTTCAACATGCATACAGATGACTCCTGAATGCACAGCTTTAGTCTGACCTTCCTCTTGATCTCTAGATCACTGTGCTTTATGGTTCTGCTTTCACTTAAAATTTGCTCTTTAAGAACAGTTAGCTTTTCTCTTTTCTCCTTATGACTTCCATTTCTGTCAATGGCAGAACCACCATTTTCTTTGTGTCTAAGGCTTAAAGACTTGGAGCCAGTCCCAGATTTTCAGTCAAGATCATCGTCCCTTGTCTCCTCTCAAGCCAGCAGATTTCATTCTTGAGAGAATCTAACCATAATAAAATATTTCTTTACTTGCAGCCAGAATCAGCCTCCTGTCCACCCACTCCCATTCTTTTATGATCCTGACATTGGAGCGTCAGAGTCCATCCACATCAGCTCCCTCTACAGAGAGGTGTGTTCCCCAAGACTAATCCTCTCCTGGTCTTTCAGCCAGTCTCTAGGTCAGTGTCCCGCCAAACACAGGGCACAGAACTAAACACAAAACTCCAGGACACTGCACAGTAGCACTGCCTGTGTATGGGTTGTGCTTCTGATACAACACGTGCACACTGTAAACATTTGAGTGAACACAAGGTGGCGCGAGAAGCATCCACACCACCTGAACCCCCAGTGTGGCTCACTAGCACAACTCTGGCTCAGCAAGTCCGTGAGGCAGGCATTAATATCCTTACTTGACAGATCAGGGTATTGGAAATCTAGAGAGATTAAGTCCTTTGCCCAAGGTCACACAACTAGGAAGTGGCAGAGCTAGAATTCTGCCTAAGCCACAGTCCGACTATTGTTCTCTCCACTACCTTGTATTGCATGTGAAATGGTTATAAGGCCAGGTTTTCCTATCCCTCATCTTTTCCCATTTATTTACTTCAGTGAGTCTTAAGTGGACAGTGACAACCCTATCAGGGAGGTGTTTCAGAATCACTCCCAGGGGCATTTTCAAACTATGTGCTCCTGTCACCCCCAGTCAGTGCTTAGAGAGCCCCCTCTGTCATTCTCCCTTGCTCAGAATGCTCCAGCTGTACTTCCTTCTGTCCTTAAACATGCGAAGTTCATTAACATCTCAAGGGCCTTTTGCACCTGCTGTTCCTTCTGCCCGCAGTCATCTCATCATTCAGGCTTCAGCTCAAACATCACCTCCTCAGTAAGACCTCTGACCATCCCAGCCCCTCTGGCAAGTCACACTCCTATCTCATTACCCTCTTTTATTTTCTCTTTGGCATTTTTTTCACTATCAGAAATTATTTTATTTGTTTATTATCTATTACTCCTCATAAGGGCTCCAGAAAAGCAGAGTTTTTTATTTCTCATTGCTTTATCCCCAGTGCCTAGAACAGAGCCTGGTACATGGTAGGTACTGAATGAAGATTTGTTAAATGAACTGTCACCCCTGGTTCAGGCTAGTTTCATTGCATCCAGAATCTTCTTACATAAATCAGCTTGCTTCCTAAAATACCAATTTTATTTGATCCCATGTGGCCGCTATTGCACACAGAATAAAGTCTAATCTTCTCAACTAGGTAGGTGTCCGTACCTGCCACAAATTAGACTGCTCGCTCCTCAAACTTCCACACCTGCCATCCTTTTTGACATCACTCTTCCCACCCCATCCCCATCTTTAAGCATATTGCTTTTCCTGCTGGCAATGTCTTCCTCCTTCCCACTTACTTAAACATAAGATTTCAAGACTGAGCTGGCCCTCCCAACCACAGCTTTATTATACTCCCTATATCAAGTACGTTTGAATTAGACTGTTTATTTGCACTCTTTTTAAAATCCTCCCTGTTAAGTTCCCAGGATATGGTTTGAGGCAGAGGAATAAGATCAGGGAAGAAGGGGATCCTATTGTGGGGAGTAGGTCTCTGTTCTATTCTCAGGGAACACAGAGAAGAAATTCTCACTTTTCTATGTGACAGCCCTTAAAAAAAACCTGGAGACAGACCACATTCGCCCAAGTCTGCTCTTCTGTAGGTGACATGGCCCCAGTCCTTCAGTTCCTTCTTAACATGGAGTGCCCAGAACTTCCAGGTGAGCACTGACTGGTTCAGAGGAGTGGGGGACTATCAACTCCTCCCTTCTGGAGGCTATGAATTAATCCAGTGGGGGCTGGCCCCACGGCCGAGTGGTTAAGTTCAAGCACTCCGCTCCAGCAGCCTGGAGTTCACAAGTTAGGATCCTGGGCGCGGACCTACATACTGCTTATCAAGCCATTCCATGGCGGCATCCTACATAGAAGAACTAGAATGACCTACGACTAGGATATACAACTATGTGCTGGGGCTTTGGGGAGAAAAAAAAAATCCAGTCATTTTGACTTTTTGGAAGCCCTTCCAAACTGCTGACTCATTCTGAGTTTGCAATCAATTAAATATCCCAAATCAACTCAAGTACAGCTTATATATCACACTTCACTCTGGTCTCTGCTTTATTAGTTTTGTTCTTTCCACATTTGGTAATCCTTGATTCTGCTGCTCAGGATCTCAAAGAGATCTCAGCTTCTTTTGTCATTCGTGAATTCACTGAATTGTCACTCATTTTTCATTAAAAAAAAGTTGTACAGAATCAAGAGAAGAGCCCTGTGGTAGGTCACTGGAGACTTATGGAACAGAACAGCATCTTGATATGAAAAGTCTTATCTGATAGAAAAGATACTTTTAATGCCTCTCCTCCACCTCTGACCAGGACTGTCCTTGCCCTCAGAGTGTCAGCCACAGCATCCCCTGCACCTAGATATACCCAGCAGACACTGCAATTGAAGAAGAGGGGGTTCCAAAGGACTCTGGCCAATCTCTGCTGTTTCTTGACCCCCCTTTTCCTTAGAAACCTCCCTCCCACCTCCTACCCCAGAGCAGCTCCACTGTGTATGTTTAGGAGTGTGAAGTCTTCTGATGGGCTATGACCTCCCTAACAGCAGAGACAATACCATTTATGGTTTTTTAAGCCCTTTCCCTTGAGAAGCCAACAGACCCAACCTAAGGCTACAGCACAGCAAATTCCCCTTTAGTACCCTTTCCTCCCAAACCCTTTTGCAATCTGGCTTCTGCCCTTACTACTCCCACATGTTGCTCTTGGATTCTTCAGCCTTAGGCTTAGTGACTTCTCTTCAGAACTCATTTGTGGAACCTAATTCTTTTCTTTTCTTTTTTTTTTTTTTTTTTAGGAAGATTAGCCCTGAGCTAACTGCTGCCAATCCTCCTCTTTTTGCTGAGGAAGACTGGCCCTGAGCTAACATCCGTGCCCATCTTCTTCTAGTTTATATGTGGGACGCCTACCACAGCATGGCTTGCCAAGCGGTGCCATGTCTGCACCCAGGACCCGAACTGGTGAACCCCAGGCCACCGAAGCGGAATGTGCGAACTTAACCGCTGCGCCACCGGGTCAGCCCCAAGAACCTAATGCTTTTTGAAACTTTCTTCTCCTTTGGTTCCTGTGACTTCTCTCTCTCCTGGTTTTTCTTTTAGTTTCCTGGCTAATTTCTTCTCAGTCTCCTTTGAGGGTTGCTCTGCTCACCCTTAAATCACCATATCCCCAGGGCTCTGTCCTTGTTTCCCTTATAACTTCACACATTCTCCCTGGATGCTCTCAGCCACTCATAGCTTCAACTACCACTCTTATTACAATGACTCTCTGATCATGGTGGCCTCCTGACCTCCAAGGAGACATCCTTTCCAATCCAACTTCCACCCAAACCACCAGTGATCTTTCTAAAATGCAAATCAAAACAGGCCACTAAACTGTTATACTGTTTGTTAACAAACAAAATGCCACTTCCCTGATTAAAATCCTTTAACAGTTCCATTCACACGCCACTATAGCTAAACCAAATTATTTGCAGTTTCTGGGAAGCATCAAGTTATTCTGTGCCTTTGTGGTTTTCTATAGACTGTTGTATGGCCCTAGAATGTTCTTCTTACAAGTCTCCACAAAGCCAATTCCTAATCATCTTTCTAAGAATGTGCTTAAATGTAAATTGTGTTAGCAGTCCTTCTCTGACATTTTAGTCTCTTTAGATATCCCTCTCATAGACCAGGACCACAGACTGCCGTCTCTGCATTTTAATTATCTGCTTCCTTTTCTGTTTCCATCCTTAGTCAGAATTCCTTGAGGGCAAAGAATATCCCTCTCATTTCTCTATCACCAGCACCTACTTAACATAAAAATTACTTAAATATAATAAAATAAATAGGGAAAGAGGTGGCCTAGGAGGCTTAAAGGTCAAGTGTCAGGTCTCAGGATCTTTGAAGAGTGGCTACAATCACTGACCAAAGAATGAATCTCACTGACATCCAGCGTGGTTTGCCTGTTGGAGATGTCCCTTGGCTGTTGGGCATATCCCTTAAGCAACACAAATAGCTAAATGTCCAAAACTGAACTCATACCTTATCCCTTTTCCAGTAAATCTGTGTTTGCAGTCCCTATCCATGTGTCATCATCTTTCCAGACACCTAGACTTAGAATCACAATCTTCTGAGTACTTCCTTTCCCAATACATCAGTCTGTAAGTTCTGCTGATTTTATCTCCTCAGTGTATTTTTATCCTCTCTCCTCCTTCCCCCCATTACCACTGTAGGACATGCCCTGGACTGGAAAGATGATCAATTTAGGCTGAAGAACCTCTTCTGGTTTGGATGGGTGCTGGGCAGGGCCCTATCACTGAGTAGGCCACGCATATATCCTGGTATTCCAGCCTCTAGGTTCCTTACCATCCGCTCTGGCTCTTGCATCCCTCTGAGGATGGCTGTTGGCTGGGCTCCCTGGGAGAGCAGGCCCTGGATCCATCAGCTGGGCCAGGGGGCCTTGCTCAGCAGCTCTGAGGCCAGCAGATGGCATCTCACTTGACTGGGGGCCCTGACAGACCTGGGTGGACCAGGGCTCTGGGTCAAGTAGGTCCATGCCTGGCCCCAATGGCATTGGTGGTAGGCTATGGCTACAGCGAGTGCCCTTATCCAGGGGGCCCACCCTATCTTGTTGGGTTTCTTGGATAGGAGAGAAATCCTGGGAGGAGTCTCCAATGCTCACTCGAAGTGGTGGGGAGCCAGAGCCTGCAGCTTTCTTCCGGCCCTTGGCAAGCTCAGCAAAGGAGGTGACCCGCCTAGGTGGGGAGCTAGGCCCAGCCAGGGCTGCAGGGCCCTCACTCAGGCGCACTGGGCAACTCAACATGCGTTCCAGTGAGCCCAGGCGAACAGGAGGGCTTCGTTCGAGGCTGCGATCATAGCTTCGAGAGCGCTGACGTCCAGTGCTAAGGTTGGGGGGTGAAGTATTGGTGTACACTTGGCCCTCGATCATAGCAGGGCCCACGGGAGCTGCTGCTTCCTCTGAGGAACCCCCTGCTTCTTGTTCCTCTGGCTGCACTTCTGGCTTCTGGAATAGGTAATACTCAGAGGGCTGGCTAGGGCCAGGGTGTGGGCCAGGGCCTGGTGCAGGACTTATCTTGGTGTGTTCCTCAGAGCAGCTAGTAATGGAAGAGCCAGCTGGGCTTGGGGATGATTGGGAGGACAGGTCACAGGTGACAAGTTTATAGTAATTCTGTGTGGCCACAACAAGACGGGCCTGGCTCTGGAAGCAGGCTGTGAGGTCAGCCACAGCTGGGCAGGGCTCACAATGTGGGTGGTAGGAGTTGCAGTTGGCATCAAGCTCAGGAGATGAGGCATGAGGACAACCATAGCCTCCTTCCCTTCCTCCATTGTTAGGGTGGTGGGACTCCTCAGCAGGGAAGGTTTGCAGGTCCAGGTAGAAGGCGCCAGGGTCTGAATGGCTGCAGAAGGAAGAGTCGCTGCAAGATTGCGGGGCTGAGTTGAGATTGGCATGGGAGTTGCCATGCATCTTGTTGTAGAGGGTGCTGAAAGTGACAAGCACGCCATCTGAGCTGTTGCAGGACGAGTCACTCACATAGCCCATGGACTGGTCAGCCGTCTCGGACTGACTGGATGTGCTACTGCAGCGGCAGTGCTGGGGTCCTGAGCCTGTGCATCCGGGGTTCCTTGGGGATTCATCTGAACTCAGCTTCCATTCCTGGTCAAAGGAAAAGCCAGAGGTATCACTGGCTCCACCCCCACTGCCACTCCCACCAGGTCCCCCACACTCATCCAGCTCCATGGTCTCTGCTTCCAGCTCTGGCCGGCAGCAGTAGCTAGTGCTGCACTCCTGGGTATCCAAGGTGGTTACTGGCTGCTGTTCTTGCCCCTCCACCACTCCAGCCCGACTACGTCTTGTGCCCCATGGCCTGCCCACTCTGGGGCCAGTTGGTGGCAGCTGGAAAGAGGATAGCTGGAAGGTGGGCTGGCCAGCCCCATGCAGGTGGAATGACTGCTGCTGGGTGGCACTATCACCAATGCTGTCCTCATATAGGTCACCAAATCCTGGCTCAGCCACACCCTCCTGCTGCAAGAAGGGATTGTGTCGTTTAGGGGCCCCAGGGCCTCTTCCATCCCGACCCCTACTCTTGGTGCTGTCTGCAGACCGTGCAGATCCCCCTGTAGAAGAGTGCCGACTATTGTAGAGCAGGGAGTCAGCTTGTCCTAGGTCTTGATCAGGCTTGGTGATGCCCAGCTCCGATGGGCAGAATGGATTGGGTCTTGTGCTCCCACTACCTCCACTTGCCCCTCCACAGCACTGCCTGTCTGGGACTTGACAGTGCACCAGGGGGATGTGGTGGACGATGAGGGTCTCTCCAGTCAGCTTTGGGGGACTATCCATTCTGGAAAGTTCGAACAAGGGCATTAACAGCACCAGACACTGCCCCCGGAGCCCAGTGGGGCAGAACACATTTCATCAGGAAAGCTTGGCACCTGGAGAGAGAGGGAAACAAAGGGAACCTAATGTCACCTCCCTGGAAGTCAGGGACATGCCCTTCCCTATATCATTTCCAGGTGTAAAAGAGCCCAAGAGGAGAAAAGACTCAGAGTCAGGATGGAGCTTGATAACACAGCCCAACAGGGCAGGGGTATCCCACCACTTTCTGAATCGCACAGGTCCAGCTCTTGAGTTCCCCTTTCATTTTAAGTTTGCCATGCATCCACCTCTGACAAAAGGCCAGACCCCTTTTAATGCCACATATGAAGGTCTGGGTATCTCAGGGACAGCACTTTCTCCTTCTCTTTCAAGGACACTGTTCTTAGCAGTAAACAATGACTAGTCCTGAGTACAAAAAAAGTATGAAAAGTGACATAACTAAGAAAAATGCAACTAGAATGTCAGAAAGGGTGCTAGGCACTGAGGGGATACTAGAGATGCCTTAGACACAGCTATAGCATGCAAGTATACAGAGGAGAGGAAAAATCACGAATAATATATCATGTACTTACAGCAGTAAGCTACAATTTTGCAAGAAAAATATTTTTAAATACATCATTTGACTCCTATGTCATCTTGAACCCGTTTTTTCCTCCTCTGAGCCCCAAAATACCTGTCCCTCTCTGATGGCTGTGGGCTAAGGATACTCACTCTCCCGATTATAGTACTGGAGCTTCTTGAATGGGCAGGAGTGACTGCAAGCATGGCTGATGCCAACCTCTTCCTTCTCAATGGGGGTGGGGCCTACTTTTATCTCTTTTGTATCAACCTCTGGCACAATATCACATAAGACCTGGCAGACTTGAAAGGCATAATACAATCTTAATATCTGTCTAGTTCAGGGCACAGACCTTCTGAAGTGTCCAAATTCTGCCCAGTTTTAACCTAGAACTTTCACTACGGGTTCCCCTAGAAAGTCTTCTCTTCCCAGTTTTACCTCTGATAGACTAAACTTCTTTTTTGTCCAAGGTCTCCTGGTTCTGAGGACACAGAGCCCATTCTAAGCTTCTCTGGTCTCTTGGCTGGACTGTGGCAGAATGGCCTCCTCACATTCTAGTCTCCTGCTCTACCAAGTTCAGGTCCCGACAGTCTTCACTTGCTCAGACTCCTCATATCCAATATTTCTCTTCCTTCCCTTTTTATTCCTGTCATTTTCCTTCCACCCACTGTGAGTCTAAATCCCCATTGCCTAAGTTCTTCATCATTTAGTTGAACCCTTAATACCACCAATTTTTTAAATTTTAACTCATTTAGATCATAGGATCACAGCTTTTCAAGTGGAGTACAGTAAAGAGCTGGGCAAGTCACACATGCTCAAGGAAATGAGCAGGCAATATATTAAAGAAAAAATCCAAATGGCTAATAAATACATGTAAGAGGGACACAGTATTAAAATATAATTGTTTGTGTTAAGTTAAATTACATTAAAATTAAAAAGCGAGTATTTACCACCTCTCTTTCTCCTTTCATTTCTGAGAGGAAGGCTCTTTTACTGGATTTCCAAGCCTTTATGTGTTGACTGGGGTAACGAGTACATATGGAGAAAGGCAGAAACTAGAGAGACTAAACTGAGCTACAAGATTAAGAATTATAGAAGAAAACATGGGAGTAAGTCTTTGTTATTTTGGATTAGGCAATGGTTTCTTAGATGTGACACCAAAAGCACCAGTGACAAATGAGAAAATGGATGAAGCAGACTTCATGAAAATTAAAAACCTTTGTGCCTCAGAGGATACCATCAAGAAAGTGAAAAGGCAACCCACAGAATGGAGGAGATATTTGCAAATTGTATATCCGACATGATAAGAGCCTTCTGATTAGAATATATAAAGAACTCTTACATCTCAACAATAAAAAGATATATAATCCAATTAAAACTGGGCAAAGAACTTGAATAGACATTTCTCCAAAGAAGACACACAAATGGTTGATAAACACATGAAAAGATGCTCAACATCATTAGTTATTAGAGAAATAAAAACCACAATGAGATATCACTTTATCCCCACAATGAAGGCTAAGATAAAAGACAGACAATAATAAGTGCTGGTAAGGATGTGGAGAAATTAGAACCCTCAAACATTGCTGGAGGAATTGTAAAATGGTCCAGCCATTTTGGAAAAACAGCCTGGCAGTTTCTCAAAATGTTAAACATATGAGTTACCATATGACCCAGCAATTCTACTCCTAGGTATATCCCCAAGAGAAATGAAAACATATGTTCACACAAAAGCTTGTATACGAATATTCATAGCAGCATTATTCACAGTAGCCAAAAAAGTGGGAACAACCCCAGCGTCCATCAACTGATGACTGGACAAATGTAATGTGGTCTATCCATATAACAAAATATTACGTAGCAATAAAAGGAATGGAGTACTGATACATGCTACAACATGAAGGAACCTCAAAAAGGTAAGTGAAAGAAGTCATCATAAAAGGCTTTTTTGTATGATTCCATTTACAGGAAATGTCCAGAATGGGCAAATCCACAGAAACACAAAGTAGATTAGTGATTGCCAGGGACTGGGGGACTAAGAACTTGGGAGTGACTGCTAATGGGTATAGAGGTTCTCTTTGGGGTGATGAAAATGTCCTGAAAACAGTGCACCGGGGGTAGTCGTGATGGTTACACAAGTCTGTTCATAAAATCAAAACTACAGAATTTTATCGTATGCAAATTATATCTCGATTTTATAAAATGGTGAATTTCATGGTATGTGAATTATATCGTAACAAAGCTGTTATTTAAAACATTTTTTAAAATAGGAGAAAAAGAATAAGGTTTGTGAGAAGAGGGAAGGAGAGGTGAGGAAGGGAACCAGTGTTGAGCAGTGGAGAGGACTGGGCATTTGCAGAGAAAAGGTGAGAAGGAGAAAAGAGAGGAACAGCTGCCTTAAAGTGTGGGATTTTATAGAGAGAGAGAAAGAGGATTTTTTTTTTCCTTTTTCTCTCCAAACACCCCCCGGACACAGTTGTATATTTTCAGTTGTGGGTCCTTCCAGTTGTGGCATGTGGGATGCCGCCTCAGCATGGCTTGATGAGCGGTGCCATGTCCACGCCCAGGATCTGAACTGGCGAAACCCTGGGCCACCAAAGCGGAGCTCGAACTTAACCACTCGGCCATGGGGCTGGCCCCGAGAAAGAGGACTTTTAGGAAGTTTTGTTATGAGGTACATAAGATAATTTTCCCTTTACTCCTCCCCATCTTTTCTCTTCCTGCACTAAGAAAACTTTGGGCTCAAATATATATGCCACAAGGATAACAGAAAGTTGGAAACACCCTAAAATTCTAATAATAACCAATCAATAAAAAAGTACAGAGTATTATTAAAATAATGTGTTAATATGATTATTGACGGGAAAACGTTCACAAAACATTAACTGAAAATAGCAGATTGCAAACAGCATGTAGAGTATGACACTGTTTGTAAATAAATAAATATACATCTCTATCTGTTTTAGTCTGTTCAGGCTGTTATAACAAAATACCTCAGACTGGGTGGCTTATAAACAGCAGAAATTTATTTCTCACAGTTCTGGAGGCTGGGAAGTCCAAGATCAAGGTATCAGCATGGCTGTGTTCTAGTGAAAGCCCCCTTCCTGGTTCATGGCTGGTGCCTTCTAGCCATGTCCTCACATGGTATGAGGGACAAAGGATCTCTCTGGAGCCTCTTTTATAAGAGCACTAATCCCTCCCAAAGGCCCCACCTCTTACTACCATTACCTTTGGGGGTTAGGATTCAATATATGAATTTTGAGGGGACATAAACATTAAGACCACAGCAATACGCATGGAAGAAAATTAGCATATGCAACAAAATGTTAACAAAGCTTATCTCTGTTGAGTGATTTCGGGTTATTTTAAATTTTATTCTTTTTGCTTCATCTGTATTTTCTAATTTGTATATAATAAATATGCATTATGTACATAATTTATAGTTTTTTTCTTTAAATGCTATAGATTCTGTGGGTTCTGGGCTTGGGGAGGGAGCTACCCCTTACACATGGTACTGGGTTTCCCCAGGGTCCAGGCCATAATCCAAGGCCTAGACTAAAACGACCACAGAGAACCTTCTCGAACACATAGCAGTAATTTCAGGAGTATTTATGGGCTACAGCCATCACTGATCTTCAGTGAATACTCCCCGCTCTGCCCTCCCCCCTTTTTTTTTTTTTAAAGATTTTAGTTTTTTCCTTTTTCTCCCCAAAGCCCCCTGGTACATAGTTGTATATTCTTCGTTGTGGCTCCTTCCAGTTGTGGCATGTGGGACGCTGCCTCAGCGTGGTCTGATGAGCAGTGCCATGTCCGCGCCCAGGATTCGAACCAACGAAACACTGGGCCGCCTGCAGCGGGGTGCGCGAACTTAACCACTCGGCCACAGGGCCAGCCCCGCTCCGCCCCTTTTTAAAGCACCATTTTCAAGAGGCATTCACAAGTATACACAAATAAAAATTTATGATTCTGACCCACAGACCATTACTAGGTCATACATGCATTCAAACGACAAAACATAGTGACACACAGAGTCTAGAAAGCTGATCTTCTAAACTAAGGATAAAGAAGAAATGGATACGGAAGGTGATGAAGAACCTAAGAACCTTTGGCTGGAGGGCCCTGACAGCTGTATTACGATGTTATGTTTCATTTCTGTCCCCCAGACTTAACTGTGGTTCCTTGAGGCCAGAACCTGTCATACAGTGGACTCCGTGCCCCTAGAACCTACGCACAGTGCTTGGAACGTGGCAGGGGCTTGGTTTTTTGTTGACTCCTATTTTACCCATTTAAAAAATTAACTTGCCTTTTTATTATTGAGTTGTAGGAGTTTTTCATTTATTCTAGATACAAGTCCTTTGTCAGACATATGTTTTGAGAATATTTTCTCTCAGCCTGTGGCTTGCCCATTTGTTTTCTTAACAGTGCTTTTTAATTAACAGAAAACTTTAATTTTATGAAGTCTCATTATGAAGTTTTTTTTTCTTTTATGGTTAAAGCTTTCTGTGTCCTAAGAAATCTTTGCCTATCTCAAGTTCATAAAGAAATCTTCCTGTTTTTTTTCTAAAAGTACCTGTATAGTTTTAGCTTTCACACTTAGGTTGTGTTGAATCCTATTTTAACTGTAAAGCTCTTTCAAAGGTTGATTTCATTTTATTTTATATTTTTGTATCTCAGAGAAGGTCTTTTTCCCTCCTGAGATCTCCACAACCAAGGCAAACGCCTGCCAACAGTTCTTCCACAGATAACTCCAAGTTAGCCAACTAAGGTGAAGTTCTGCAGACATGTTGTGATTTTGTATTCATTCCTTTCCCTCCATACTTTCATTTTATAAAGCACTTTTTTATTATGTCATCTAACTGATCCTCATAACAACGCACCGAAGTCAGTAAAGTCCCTTTCATTTCAAAAAATAAGGAAATAAACACCCAGAAAAATGAAATGACTTGCCCAAGATCACTCAGTGAATAAATGACAGAATTAAGACGGGACTCAGGAATCCTAACTTTTGACCTTTTTTCTTGATCAGTTAAGAATGTAATGAGTATACTGTACACGTGACTTGATTTCAAACCCCACAGAATACATTTACTGAGAGCATCTCTCTTAGACTTCTTTCCTGGGAGTGACTTGTTCTGTGACAAGACAAGTTTAATACTGTGGCCTATGAGCCCTAACAGAGGTGAAGAGAAAACAATGAGATGGAAGAGCTCATTCCAGACTCTTTTTGTACCCTAATTAAACAGAGAGATGTGGGAGATGAAGATGGGGATGGAACAGAGACTCCAGAATAGAAAGAGAGTGGAAGAAAGCTTTTCAGATGATGGGCCCTCTAGCTATGACGACTTGGTAGACAGTGGAGTGGTGGGCTCAGTCGATGTAAAGTTATGAAGTCTAACTCTCCAGAATCAAGGAAAGGATTCCATGTGGGCCCTTTTCCTGGCTCTTACCCCAAATGGGTGTCTCTTGGGACCTACCATAATAATACTGTTTATTAGTGGTCATTTACTGTGCATTTACATGCTAGGTAATTTACATGTATCATCTCTAATTCCACTATAACCCTTTAAAGGAGGCTAATCATTCCCATTTTACAGACGAGAAAACTGAAGCTTAGCTAGTATAAGTAGTTTGTCCACAATCACACAGCTGGGCACGCAAACCCAGGTCTGCCCAATTCTTAATTCTTTCCACTCCCAAAGAAAATGATCAGGGCCACGCCCTCTTCCTGAAGTCCCTGCATTTACCCTGCCGCCATAGCAGCTGCTTCCTACCTTTCCTGGAAAGGCCCATGCTCCAGCTTCCACTTACAGTTTGTGTTTACCCAATTCTCCATTCTCTGACCCTACAGTCCCTTTCGTATTACTGCCCGATGCTCTAATAACACTCTTCAATCCCACCTCCTGCCCCAGTTCCCAGGCCTCATCTCCCTGCCCCAGTCACGGTCTTGGACACCCCATTCCTCTGCCCTAGGACTGTAGAGCACATTCCTAGATGCTTCCTGGGAACTAACAACCACAACTTACCAGTGTATTCCCCAAACACATATTCACACAATGTGGAACTAGTGCCTTCTATTAGCCTATGTTTTTGAATCCTCCACCGAAATGGTCACTGGAAATGGAAATTTAAGGAACTCTTTCTGTCTGCTCAGCAAGGGTACTTCTGGGCAGGAAAATGTTCTAAACTCCAGAAGAAAGGTTTCCCCTGTCTTTGGTCATCAGCACCTTTCTGTCAGTCATAGAAGCCCTTCCCTCTTTTATTGGCCTCCTGAAGGAGGATGGGAAAGACAGTGGTACTCAGTTGTTATTCTCTAGTAATCTGACCTTGACCTGAGGTCCGATGACAAGCCTCAGTAGGAGTGATAACCTTTTTTCCTGTCTGGGTCCTCTCTTGGGCAGGACTGAAGGGAAGAGAGAAGGAGGGTGGATTCGGGAGTATCAGCTTATGCTTAGATTTCTTCCTGTTAGGAATCTAAGTCTGTATAAGAAAACTGATTATGTCAGGTGCCAAGGCATTACAGGGACTTCCCCTGCCCCCTGCCCCCAGCCCCCAGCCCCCAGTCCCGAGTACACTGTGGAGCTTCTTGGTCAACATTCTTTCTTACTCCATCCTCATCTGGAGCCTGGTGGCACCCATAGCACCAGAAGATATAGTATGTGTGTCTATGTGCATGTATGTATGTGCGTGAAGGGAAAGGATGGGCTCGATGCCTCCCAGCCCCACCTCTTAAAAGCTGCATGGATCCCTGCATGTTCTCCATCATAAACTTACAGTAGCTTTCAGGGTGTCCCCTGCCATTATGCCTTTATTTCTAGATCTGACCCCCTCCACCGTGACCCACATGATAGCAGCTTCATTGGAAATGCCCAGAAAAGAATGAGGGGATCTTCTGCTTCTTGACAAAATAGCAGTAGCTCAAGCCTCTGCTTTTCCCGATCTGCACCACAGCCCAAATGTATACATGGATGAGCTTGTCTAATGTTTGCTCTCATGCTCACTCTCTCTCTCTCTCTCTCTCTCTCTTTCAGAAAGACAAAAGCCAACCCTCAGAAGCTAGGGCCCAAATGTGCTGATGGGCTACCCCAGCGTCTCTGCCCTGCCCCTCCCCCCAGCTCCGCTGAGCCATACCTCTGCAAGGAGCCTTGAGCCCTCCCGGACGGAGGCTTGTGTTCCTTTTGTACTGCGACCAAGCTCTACCTTGACAGTTCCAGCTGAGGCACTGTTCCACGGGTCCACACAGGAGGAACTGGGCCGATTTCTTAAGATCTGATTTCTGCTAATACAATGGCATCATTGCTAATGCAGGGAGGCTGCGCAATCCCAGCCCCAGTATCCTTGCTGCTGCCACTGCTGCTGGTGCTGCGGTGACGTTGCTGCTAAAGGAAGGGGGCAGGGAAAGGAGCGGGCGTGCCCACAGTACAGCCACTCAGCCTCCCTCCCTGTCAGTCCCTGTGGGCCTTTAGCCTAGGGAAGGGGGAGGGGAAAGGAGCCAGCCACAGCGGCAGTCAGTGCTGGAAGACGAGAACTCTCTAGTCAGCAAAGAAAAGGAGGGAGAGCTGGGCCCAGCTCCTCTCTTGTCCTTAGGAGTCTCAGGGAAAAAGTCTGGGCAGACGCTTAGAGCTTCCTTCCTTCCTTAGGCCCCTCCTTCTAGAGCTTAGCCAGAAATCTCTCCCTCCTCTTTTCACCCACTCTGAATGACTCTTTGTTTTCCAGCTTTTTCCTTTCACTGGGATTCCAGATTAGCCTTGGGGTAGAGCAGCCAGCCAGGGAGGGGGTTCCTGATGCCTTGAAGGCAGGCTGCAGAGACCGGTCATCACGCCACCAGTAGTAACACCAAGTTCAGTCCTTGTGGATGCCCAGCTGGATGCAGCACTAGGCTCTCTAGGGTGTGCCTCTTCAGAGAAATGGGGACTGTCTCAGAAAAGAGAGAGAATCGGCCAATGGCAGGCTTCTATACATAGGGTGGTAGTGAGCCTTAGGACCAAGGTGGCTGCAGGCCCCCTTCCTAACAACAGAGTCCACTTCAGTTCCCTGGATCTTCAGAGGGTCTGCTGGTGTGGCTGGAGCAGAACCTTCCCTCTCACATCAGTTTATGGTCAGTGCCGAGTGGGGTCCGGCTGGGCCTGTGGGGAGGCAGAATCCATTTGGCTAGGCCGAGAGGCCAGGAAGCCTATTTTTCTAGGGAAAGGAAGGCTAAGGAAAGGGTGTGGTCTCCCCCAGGCCAAAGAAAAATCTCAGTTCTGTCTATAGACCTACAGAGCCCTCCACCCCTTCCCTGCTCCACCCTGCTCAGGTTCTGGGCCAGTTCTGTGGGAATCAGTAAATAGTGGAGAAGCCACAGCCAGAGCCAACAGTACAGTAAGCAGCAGCACTGTCTCTGTCTACTTCATGCCACTGCTGCCTGCTGCCACCGTTGAACACAGAGACTGTCTCAAGCTACGCTTGGCCCCCAAGCGCTAGCTTTGCCTAGGGCTCCTCCCAGAGTTGATGACTATCTGGACTCCACAGGCAAGTCCTTGAATTTCAGGTCCTTAGAAAGAAGCCTTGGGTCCACTGGCCAGGATCACAGCAGCCACCACTCAGGATCCAGAAAAGATGTCATTTCTTTCCCCTATTGCTTCTTCTATTCCCTATGAGACGCATGTGCCCATTGACCATATGTTAGGATGAGCTGAATTGTAGAGAGAAGAAGAGAAGTGGCTAAAGACCCAAAAACCTATCTCTAGCCTGACTCGTTTGAGGGGCCATGGCCCCTGTCCTACAAAGCAGAAAACAATGAGGAAGGGAAGGTGAGAAGGAGACTGCTGTTCATAAAACCAACCATTAGGGACCCTTCCAGGGAAGTTGAGAGGAGCAGAAACGGTCTCACCGTACTTCCCTCTCCCCTAGCTGACACAGACCTCATAGGGGGTTGGGTAAACAGCTGTAGGTTAGGGCAGAATAATCTCCATGACCGAGTGCTTAGAGTTCTAGCTTCTTACTGTAAAAGCTCTGGGCCCAGGGTCTTTGTCCCTGAATTCTGTGAGGCTAAGCCATGCACAGCACTGGAGACCCACTGCTCTCATATTTTCAGTGCTTGGCTTACTTTACCATGTCACAGACCACAACATCACTTACTTTCCATCCACTACTGCCACAAGTCTATAGGGCTTTTGATGAAAGATCAAATTATATTCCGCTAGAAATAAAATACAAATACTGTCACATTAGAAACCTCAACTGCCTCCTAACTAGTCTTCTCACCTGCAATTTACCTTCTAGTACTACCAGATTCACCTTGCTGAAGCACCATCTTTCTTCACTATGTCACTCCTCTTGGCCCTTTTAATGGTTTCCCATTACCCAGAGAATCAAGTTCAAACTCCTCATTTTGGCTTTCAAGGTCTTCCATCTTGGCTGTCTATGCCTTCTCCACCCAAACTTACTTCCCATAGCCCATCTTGTAGTTCCTTCAAACCTGTTTCATAAGCTCATTTCCACTCTGCTGCATTTGTTCAGATTCTCCTGCCTGTTACACTTGGCTATACTCAGAATCATCCACAACCTACAAGGCCCAAATCAACTCCTCCTTCAAGTCTTCACTGATCACCTCAGAACTAGAAATGATCTGTCTTCTGAACCCATGGCTGCAGGCTGTTGATTTTATAGACAAAAAAAAAAAAAAAATCCCACAAAAACCAGGAGATCAATATAGGATTGCCAATTTCTTATATTGCCAAGTAGCATCATTAAGAAAAAATAAAACTTCAGGGCCAGCCCCGTGGCTGAGTGGTTAAGTTTGCATGCTCCACTTTGGCGGCCCAGGGTTCGCTGGTTCGGATCCGGGGTGTGGATCCAGCACTGCTCATCAGGCCATGCTGAGGCAGCGTCCCACAGAGAGGAACTAGAAGAACCTACAATTAGGAAATACAACTATGTACTGGGGAGCTTTGGGGAGAAGGAAAAAAAGAGGAAGACTGGCAACAGATGTTAGTTCAGCGCCAATCTTCCTTACCCAAAAAAAAAGAAAAGAATGAAAGAAAAATAAAACTTCACATCAACTATCATCACTTTTTCTTTTTTTTTTAACTTTTTCTTTTTTTAGATTGGCACCTGAGCTAACATCTGTTGCCAACTTTATTTTATTTTATTATTTTTTCTTCTTTTCCCCGAAGTCCTCTAGTACATAGTTGTATATTGTAGTTGTGGTCCTTCTGGTTGTGCTATGTGGGACGCTGCCTCAGCATGGCCTGCTGAGCAGTGCCACGTCCGCACCCAGGATCCAAACCGGTGAAACCCTGGGCCGCCAAAGCAGAGCTTGTGAACTTAACCACTTGGCCACAGGGCTGGCCCCACCTTTTCTTAAAAGAAAGCATACTGTCATTATTTTTCTCATTTCACTGCATCCTGATGCAAACTTCATCAGAAACTAGCATCAGCTCATGAGGGATTTTGATTAAGTAAATCATTTGTCACTTGACATGGTTATTGTTTTTTGCATATCTGTCTTAATGTCCCTTCTAGATTGCAAAGTCCAAGTTATATTTATCTTTGCATTCCCAATATCCAGTGCATAAGATAGTATCATTTTTACTTTGTGTTTCTCATAAAACCTAGCGTAGTCCTTGGCATATAGAAGGTGGTTAGTCAGAGTCTTGTTGAATAAGAGTCGTCTAAAAAGAGATGTTCCTTGAGCATATGTGAGAGTGAGTGCTGGGTAGATCTGACTCAAAAGGCTTGGAAGAGAAGATCCCTGCTGTTCACGTGAAAAAAAAAAAAAAAAGATGTATTAAAAGAAATTTTAGAAAGAAAAGGAATAATTCTTCCTGACTTTGAGTTAGGCAATGAATTCTTAGACACGATACCAAAAGCACAAGTGACAAAAGAAGAAACAGATATGGTAGACTTTGTAAGAATGTAAAACTTTTGTGCTTCCAAAGACACAGTCAAGATAGTAAAAAGACAACCCACAGAATGGGAGAAAATATTTGCAAATTATATATCTGACAAGGGACTTCTATCTAGAATATATAAAGAACTCCTACAACTCAACAATAAAAAGACATATAACTCAATTAAAAAATGGACAAAAGATTTGAATAGATACATCTCCAAAGAAGATGTACAAATGGTCAGTAAGCACATTAAAAGAATCTCAACATCATTAGATTTTAGGGAAGGATAAATCAAAATTACAAGATCCTACTTCACCCAACTAGAATGGCTAAAATAAAAAAGCCAGCGTTAACGATGATGTGGAGAATTAGAACCCTCATATATTGCTGGGAGGATTGTAAAATGGTGCAATCACTTTGGAAAACAGTCTAGCAGTTCCTCAAAACGGTAAACATAGAGTTAACATACGACCCAGAAATGTCACTCCTAGATATCTCCCCAAAAGAAATGAAAACATATGTTCACACGAAAGCTTGTATATGAATGTTCATAGCAGCATTGATTGTAATAGTCAAAAAGCGAGAATCCAAATATCCACCAACAGATGGATACATAAAATGCGGTATAGTCATAAAAGGAAGTATTATTCAGCAATAAAAAGGAATGAAGTACTGAAACATGCTACAACATGGAGCTACAACACGGATGAACCTTGAAAACATTATTCTAAGTGAAAGACGCCAAACACAAAAGGTCACATATTGTTTGACTGCATTTATATAAAATGTCCAGACCAGGCAAATCTACGGAGACAAAAAGTAGATAAGTGGCTCTCAGGGACCTGGGGAAGTGGAAAATAAGGAGTAACTGTTAATGGGTATGGGATTCCTTTTTGGGATGAGGCAAATGTTCTAAAATTAGATTATGGTGATGGTTGCACAACTCTGTGGATAAACTAAAAACAACTGAATTGTATACTTTAAATGGTGAAACATATGGTATGTCAATTATAGCTCAATAAAGCTGTTAAAAAACCCAGCAGCAGCAGTGAATGGTATTACTTATATCCCAGGGGCAGAAGTCTTTGAAGGCTCTGTAACTGTGTTGGGCTGGAGTGGGGTGGGGTGCTGGAACCTCAGGGGTACTAGAAAGCAGAGGGTATCACTGGCATGTCAACTCAAGGACTTTAGGCAATTCTCGGCGGCTTCTGCTTTTTCAACACCAAAATTCTTAAAAAGAATGGACTATGTTAACTCTACTTTCTCCTTAACCATTTCTTCACTATCAGAAGTCTATCTTCTTGTAATACTTGAACTGTCTGAAGCAGTTATAATTTTTGAACTTATAATATTTAAATTCTCTCATACTTAGCCATCCTTTTCTATTGAAAACACTTTTTTCCCTTCTATCACACCAACCCTCCTAGTTCAACTTCTTAGATCATTCTTTCTTCATTGTTTAATAAAACAATACCTGGCCCATATTTAAATGCAGATTGATAGCAAGGCTCAGATCTGAAGTCTTTTCACCCTGAATGTTTAGCCCTTTCCACTATGCTGTTGATTTCCAAATCTTGCATTCTTCCTGGACTTCCAGAATCAGATCTCAAATAGCCTATTAGATACTTCTTACCATAACCTCAAATTTAACACATCTAAAGCCAAATTGGTTTTTCTATTTCAAATCATCTTTCTTTGGACGACCAGTAACAAAAGCTTGAAAATCTGAGTCATCTGGACTCTCTCTTTACATTCAGACAATCACCAAGTCATGTTGAGTCTTCCTTCTAATGTTTTAGGCATTGATCTAAGAATTTATTGTGCTTTTACTATATTGCAACTATTATGCTAGCACTTACTTACATTATCTCATTTAATCCATATAACCACTCTCCAAGCTAAGTATTATTATCTCTATTTTGTGGATGAGAAATCTGAGGCTCAGGGATATTAAATAATCTTCCTAAGGCAACTCAGTCAGTAAATGTCTGACTCCAAAGCCAGTGTTCTTAACTACTTGTTATATTGCCTCTCAAGTTTCCATCCCCACTCCTATCACCCTAATTCAGACCTGCATTCTCTCTCCTCTGAATTATTATATAGTTTTCTAACTAGTTTTCTTGCTTTCATTCTGGCTCTTTCCTTCCAGCTATCCTAAATACTGACACAAGATTAATCTCCCCAAAGCACTGCCTTTAATATGCCACCTTACTGCCAGAAAGCCCTTCAGTGGTTCCCCATAGCTTACACGATAATCCAAATTCCTTACTGCGGCGTTCAAAGTTCCTTCCTACTTACCCAACCACGTTCCATCACATGCCAAATTTATTTAAAATTCTGAGTTTTGGCTCACTCTACTGGGAAGATATCTGAACTGTTCTCCCTATTTCCCTTGCTTTTTTTTTTTTTTTAAAGGATCCAGCTCAAATTCTACCATGCCTGGAAGCTTTTCTTTATCATGGAAGTCCTTCTTTGGAACTTCTTCAATATCAATTGCCTGTACAACTCATTTGGTACCAAGCCTTGGCCATTTTGCTATTTATCTCTGGACAACAGCACACTTTTGGAGTATGGGGCTGTGTCTTATATCTTGGTAAGAAATTCCAGGCACAGAGCCTTGGCACTTAGTGCGGCACCCCCGATGTTTATTTGATAAAGCTACTGGACAGCAAGGCCAGCAGGCTAGCTGGGCGCAAGCCAACTTTTGGAAGATTAGCTTTGCCTGAGAGTAGCATATCTGATGAGAAGGAGGAGAGGAAGGAAGATGAAAACTAAAAAGTTGAGCCTTAGTAAAATACTTAGTAATAAATCTTCAATGCCAAGATCTTAAACTCAACCCGTTTCTCTCCATTTTCATACTGAGGATGGAAAGATGACTGAGCAGCTGTGTCTCCAGTCAGTACTTCCCTACCATTTATGATCCCATGGTTATGATCCTAGAGCAAAGGCTGCAAAGTGACAGCCTGACAGTTATATCTTGCGTGTCAACAGGTTTTATGGGGCTTGCACAGTAAAAACGCCACCATAAACATTTTGGAGATTTCTAAAAAATAAATAAATCTGGATTTCCAGTTTGTCTTGCTTGAAAAATCAGAAGAACTGACCAAACTAGGCCCTCATTCCTAGATGGTAACAATCAGCTAGAGTTGAGAAGTGGTACCCTCATAAGATGGGCATCTGCCTTCAGTTTGACATGTTCCCCCCACTCCCTATGGTCTTTTCTAACAAGCCAGCTTCTCTGGCTCACTTCACTCATTTGCATTATTTGCGTGGATCCTCTAAAGCATTTGAGTTTGCAACCCTTGCCCAGAGTAACAGCTATGCTTTTGCTTTATATCCCCAACTCCCCTGACTTACCTCACATTTCCACAATGATGTTTACTGTAGTATTACTTACAATAGTAAAAAATTGAAAATATTCTGAACGTCCAATAGAAAAATGGTTAATTAAGCAGTATTCTAGCCATGCAATGGAATATAATGGAACTATAGAAATTACGTTTATAACGAATGGTTACTGGTATAGGAAGAGGCTTAAAAGCTAATTAAAAAAAGAGTAGGATATCAAATTGGCATAGAGAGACTTCTGCTTCCTGCATCATGTCGAGCAAGATACTAAGAGAGTCCCTTCAACTGCAAAAAACAAGATCCTGTATAACATATACTTTTTAAGGCATCAGAGTTTGCAGTTTATAGGAGAAATCTCCAAGGCTACTCTCCTCATCCCCAAAAAGGCAAAAAAAAAAAAAAAAAAAATTCATGAGCTGTAGAGGAAGCA